ATAAACACAAATACTTAAAATACATACAAGATCCTGATACAGTAATAGGGGTGATTTCAACACTTTGTGCTCATCTCCATGTAGTCATTCAAATTAAGATCCAGTAAGAAAATCCCAGAGTTAAAGTGTACCATAGGGCAAATAGATTTTACAGGTATCCATGGAATGTTCTACCCAACAGAAATAGAGTCATAGAATCCTTCCTAAGATACATCACATTCTAAGCAACAAATTAGCTCTTACTAAATATAGAAGAATCATAGTCATCCCTTGCATCTTTTTAGATCATAGTTCAATGAAACTAGAAGTTAATAGAAAGAAAAACTACATAAGCATGTGAAGGCTAAACATTTTTCACTACTGAATGATCAGTGAGTCATTGAAGAAATCAGAGAGGAGATGTAAAAGTTTCCAGAATACAATGAATTCCAAGGATGGGATGTTATCCTTCAAGATGTAAAATATGAAAGGGAAGTTCCTCACTGTCTACTCTTGACTACTCTCTCCTGGGCTTTTCTTAAGTATCTTGCCTACTGAGTTTCTTGGCATCTTCTCTGCTGCTAAACACCTTAACTCACATGAATGATTCCCAAGATTGTGGGCTGGAGGTGAATGCATATCTATGATCTCATCTCCATAAAAATTTAAAACATATAAAGCTAAGCACTACATATTTTAGGGATATTCATATATATAGTAATATTGTAATGAAGTCCAAAGGAATGGTGGCCACCAAATTTAGGGTGACAGCTACAGATGCAAGAAGCTGGGGAAGGAGCTGGAAAAGAAGATGGAAAATTGATGCTTCCAAGGGACTATTATTCCACCAGGTGATGAGACCTTGGATATATTTACAGGCATGTACTACCATGTAGAATTTTTGCTTATTTTTCTATAGAGTTCATTATTCTTCCACAGTTTTTTCCACCATCAAAATCTCTCTAATTTATTTAAACATATTTATCTCAGTGTCTGCACAGCTAGCTTAATCTCATCTGAGCCTATGACAGCTCCACTCTGCCTGGCTATCTTCTGGGGTCTTCTTTTACATCACCAGGGAGGTTCTCCTTCCTGTTTGTTCTCTGGTGGGGATGGGTACTACTTTAAAGAGGTCACATTTTTTCTCTTGTTTGGGCAGACACATTCTTCAGTCATTTTCAAGCAAAACCTATAGAAACAAATCATTTTTAAACTTAAAAATTTATGTATTGTGTGTTTGTGTGTGCATGCTTGCGTGCGTGTGTGCATGCGTGTGTGTGTGTGTGTGTGTGTGTTGTGTATGTGCATGAATGGGTGTCATGACATATGTGTGAAGGTCAAAGAACAACTTTTGTGAGTCAGTCTTTACTTCCATTGTCCTAATGTGAGTTCCAGAGATGGAACTCAGGTCATCAGGCTTAGACAGCAAGCATTTTTACCCACTGTGCTGTTTTCCATCTCTGAAAATAAACTTCTTTGAATGGGCTTATTCTACTTCTATCCTTAACTAATAAAGTTTGTGGATAAGGACTTCTACCATGGAAGTAATGTTCCCCTACAAAGTGTTGCTCCAATGGCCTCTGGTGCACTTTGTTGCATTGAGTGGTGCAAAGCTATTTGTTCTTCCATCCTTTGAATGGGACCAGTTTTAATTCTCTAGCCACTTTAAGAAATCCCCACTGTCTTTCCTTTCTCCAAAGCACTGATGCTCTGATTCCTATCATCAAAATTAGTTTCACCTATTCTTGAACTTCTTACAAGGGAACCCATACATTACATCCCTCTTGTGCCTGCCATCCTCAGGACATTCATGACATTCATCTAGCTGAATATCAGTCATTACCTTTTACTAGTTAATATTGAATACATTGTGCATATCACTGGTTGATAGAAATATGGGTTCTTTCTATGCTTAAAATATTATGAAGTTTGATTCCAGGGCTTGAACATTTTTATGCAAGTCATTTTGCACAGCTCACTTTTAAATCACTCAAGAGGCAAAGGCCTCAGAGAAGAAAACATCAATTCAGCAAGAAAATATGCATTTTAAGATAACTTGATTTCTACAGAAGCATACATATAACTATGTTAATTTGAGTATGCCTATATGGAAAAATATACTGAGAAGATCTGGGAAAGCATTAGTCAAATCAGCAATCCCTAGGGAACATGTTGCAATGCTTATAAAGTTTTAATTTACTAGGTGTGGGGTTTCTGAAGGTTAGCCCCTGGTAATTCTGATGTTGTTTCAAGTTTGAGAAATGCAGTGAAATAAGTACATTTCAACCCTTGTGTCATTACATAATCATATTGGATGACCAGAGGCACTGTGTTTGGGTGAGCCATCTGCTCATACCCTGCAAAAGGTGAGTCATCTGCTCATACCCTGCAAAATAAGGCCAGCCTCAAGGGTAGGAGTGACGTTTCTGGAGTTTGCTGTATGTTATGTAACAGTTTCTGCTAAGATTGAAACATTCTATCCTCCAGGCAAGCTCCTTAAATAGGAAAGTAAACAACTACAAACAGCTTTGGAAGTCCCTGAAACTGACCAGATTCACTAGGCTTCTCTTTGTCGGAGTAAACAGGAAAAGCTGAGAGTTCCCCTCAGAGGAGCCAAACTGCAAACAAGACTGAGACCAGACCACCTGCCTGAAAGAGCAGAAATGAGCCAGCTGCCTGGAAGAGGTTTAGACCAGCTGAGTCACCTGGAGAGGACACTCTTCAACATGTTCAGTATGCTCCAGGTTCCCAGCTTGTGTGAGCTGTCACTCATGCTGGGGTGGGTCTTGGTGAGGCATCTGCCTTTGAGTCACATCTGCTCCTGTAAGTAGCCTCTTCCCCACACTCCTGTAAGCAACCCCAATAAAATCCATTGATATACCAAGTTGAACTTGGATGGTATTTGTAATTTGGTCTGTCATGGGATCCTTCTCTGGGGGTGAGTAGACATGTGTGTTGTGTCTCTCCAGGAAAAAGTTTGTCATATACACCATGCCATCATGAAATGACTAAGGTAACCATCTTATCCCAACATTATTTTGTGCCTGCCTGGTCACTTCTCAGCCTTCTGCTCTCAATAGCTACATTCACCCTGGTCTAAACATACTGTGTAGTGTCTGGAAGACAGTCAATGGTTGTCATTGATTATTTCATGTGGGTCATTTCAGTCTTGCTCATGAAAGACCCCAAGCGGGGGACTTTCACGGGAGAGAGACCCGAACCCAAGGAACAACGAGACCACGAGCTTGGATGCAACAGCAAGAGGCTTTATTGATAATACACGGGTACCCGGGGCGTCTCAGTCTCGGGAACTGAGAGCCCCGAGCTGGGGACTCAGGGGTTCTTTTATAGCAAAAAGCGCAGTACAGAAGCGAGAAGCCTAGTTACAGGACCCTGATTGGGCAATTTAAATGAGGCTGGGGCTCAGAACGAGGGCAATTAAGGTTTCTCTCGGAACTCAAGTCTCGGCCTTGGCCCTATCTGAGGAACAATAGGTCTCTGTGCGTGCCCAATCTTGCTGGGCTGGCCATCTGGTCACAGCAGACACCCAAGGCCCGTGTCCTTGGGCAGAGCTCCCTTCTGATAGCAATGACTATTCAGCTGTGGGGGAAACAGAATTTTTCATAAGCCTCAGCTGCCTGCCTGTGTAGACTGGGCCGGGGTCTTTCACTCAGGGTCATTTCTGCTAATTTCTTACACTGTGTTTCATAATGACTCAACTCCAGCAGACAGAAACTTGAAGTCCCCAAATCAAGGGTGTCATTATTTCCAGTTATAGTACTCAATGTCAGCAGCGTCATCTGCATTTTCTCTTCACTCCAAATACCTTCCTGTCCTCATTCATAAAATAAAAAGGCAGGGGAAATGACATCATTTAAAATGTATCTGTGGACTGGAGAGATGGATCACTGGTTGACAGCATGTACAACTCCTGCAGAGGACCTGAGTTAGGCCCCCAGTACTCATGTCAGGCAGCTCATGACCTCCTGGAATACCCAGCTCCATCGAATTCAATGGCCTCATCTGACTTCCACAAGTACCTGCACACCTTCACACACACACACACACACACACACACACACACACACACACACACACACACTTACTTAAAAATAATAAAATAAATTATCCAAGTCCTAAAAACAGTCAAAAAGTTCTGGGCCACTGCGCTACAGGCTATCCTAGTCTCACTGTGGGTAGATACCTCTCTGCGTGACCAGTGTTTACTCCCATGTGTGTCTGGGTGCATGGAAATAAGCTGCAGGGGGAAAAAGAACTGAAAAATAGGAAGTGCCTTGGAGAGACAGGACTAGGGTGGGTTACTAGTGCTTTAAACCACAGACGTGCATTAATGGAAAGAATATTAAAAGATTTATGGAAGTCTAACGTAAAAGCTAATGTTTTATTGGTGTGCACCATTACTCATACATATTTTTCTCAGTGTTCATCTCTACCAGGATGATTCAGGAAAGGGTTGCTTAAGCCAAGTTAATTGGTCTAGGTATTCTAAATCTATCTCGTCACCAGGAAGCATCCTTCCCCTTGAAGGAGCAGCCACAGTACTCCAACATAGTTTTCACAGCTCCAGTCATTTTTAAAACTGTTCATTCACCCAGGAACCAAAGTCCTTTCCTGGTACGTCCAGCTCCATACAGCAGTCAGCTGCTAAAGGATCAACACACTTGGCTGTTGCAGTGAATGTTATCGTGAAGCTTCTGCTGTATTCCAAATGCAAGGATTTGATACTACAAATGTATAAAACCTGAGTTAGACCAATGGCTGGGAAACAAAGATGTCATGACTCACAGGGCATTCCAAGTTTTACACACTGTGGCACAGCACTCTGTTTCTCAGGCATGATGCCACGTGGTCTGGACCACTTCAGCCCTAGAGGACAGCCTTACGCCATTCCCATCCCACTTGCTTTGGAGTTCCCATTTTATCGCCCATTCATCTATGAAATGAGATAATGTTGGTGCTGCTCACTTTTCAATGTGTAAACCCCACAGATCCAACACTAGTTTTAAGACAAAGACTTTTAATCAACCTTTAGGTTTATGCTGAGTTCAAGGCCCTATTTGTAAATTGAAGTTAGTGTTGTAGGACTCCCCCTGTTCCGATGTGAGGAAGATGGGCTGGCCATTCTTGGAGGAGGCGATGAAGCTGCCAGGGAAAGCCACTGACTCAAAGGTAGATGTTCTACCAGTCTGGGTGTGGTAAAACAGGAAGGGCTTCTTGGGCTCAGGGTGGTTGTACAAATCCAAAATATTCTCCTCCTACATGTGAGAGAGAACACTTGTGAACAAAAATAGATGCTGCTTCTGATAGGCAAAGCTATTTTTACACAACCAATAAATATTCCCAATTTCAAGGAAGCCTCTCTTACAACAGGACAAGAAAAGGACATTTCAGGGATTCCAAATTGAGCTCAGTGGTAGATAGAGCAGGGCTAGCAAGTGTAAGGTCATGGGTTCAGTCTCTACTAACAACTCCCCCCCTAAAAAATAAAAAGAAAGAAAAGAAGTAGAAAGGCAAGGAAAAGGAAGACAAGGAAATTAAGGACAGGTAGGCAGACATCAAATCTCCCTGTTTATCATGATCTCTGTCCTGGCTTTTTCCTTCACTAGTAAACACCCTCTACATTTAACATTTTTACTCACTAACCACAACTACTTATCAGGCTTTCCCACTACTGTCCTGACATTCAGCTCAGCCTAGATTTGCTGACTGTTCAAAGAGTAAAGATCTGCCCTCTTATTTCGAGCTCCCACACCTTTGTTGTCATCTTCATTCTCAGTTTCCAACTCCCTGAGGAAGCTGAGGTGCCTGGATGAGAATGTCTCCAAACTACCCACTGACAGGCACATCTCACCCATACCTGTGTCTCCCTACCCGAGAAGGACTAGACAACGACTTGTCTCCACTCACTTATCCACGGACATTCTTCTAGCCATCCTTCCTGCTCACTCATGCAGCACCCATTTTTGCTTTCTTTGCTCAGTCATTCTTATCTGCATATTTGCTTTCATTTTGAAAAGCATAGGCATGTCACTAAATGACAGACACACTCTGCAAGAGTAGTCATTGGTGATTTTACTATTGTGTCAACACTGCTAATGTGGTTACGCAATCCAAAGCAGCGACAATGTCACTGGATGACATGGTTTTAGGAGACCACTGTTTATGAAGTCCATTGTTGGCCAAAACATTGTCATGTGTCACATAACTGTGTCTTAATGATCCAATACCTCTGTCAGTTCTTGCTTTACAGAAAACCCCTTGCAATAGCTGTCAATGTTTGCTGACTGATTTATCTCTTTAAACTCACTCCATGTAAGCAAGATTTTACCTCCGACACTGTCTCATTAAGATCCTCTAAATCCATATGCTACCAATGAGCAATTTCTGAGGCCGAAGTGACTTATCAAAGACAGAGAGTAGAATGTAATCACATTTAATCTGTTCAAAATCTTGTTGATAACACTTAAACTCATTTTAGAATCTCCCTGCCCACAGCACTGCCCCTCAAGAGTTATCAGCTCACATAGAGGAGGGAGCTGGAGGGTTGAGAATCTACTAAAATGTGCTTTGCTTAAAAGAAAAATAAAGACACCACATGCAGCCTAATTCTTTATATGCTAACTTAAAAAAGAAAAGTATAAGAAAAGAAACACAGGCTTTTTATCCTTATGTTATTTTTTTTCTGGATCACTGACCTTTAGCTGCAATGTGGGCTGTCCATCAACTTCCTCACAGAGCATGCATTTGTCTGGATTCTGGATTCCCATGTAAATGGGAATCCCTTTGTTCTGCTCAAGAGACTCTGGATACTTGCACGGAAGGACAGTGATGGTGACTATAAGGGTAGGAAGACAACAATTTCTTTCTGAGGCTGGGAGATAGACTGTTCTAATTGTTCTGGTTTAACAGAGCAGCATTTGCTGAGCGAGGCCAGAAGACACTTGAAGAGTGTAACCCCTGCTACCCAGACCAACCACTATCCACCACTCTCCCATTCATTCTGATAGGCAAGCAGGGTCCTAGCTATTGGGGCACTGAGTTAAGCAAATGGCAGGATTTGGATTTTCACACCTATGCTTAAACACATAGGAAGTCACAGTTCCTACCCTAAGTCATTTCTCTGATTGCTGGAGAGCTGTGACCATTAGCGAAGTTTGCTTAGTGGGATGCTGAAGTTTACCTCTTTGTGTTATTCACTCACTTAATCGTTTTGGGATGCCTTGATGCCATATAGGCATACATTTTCATCTTCCATAGGACAGATTCACTGCTTCAGATCAATGAGTGCAAGTCCCTTATGCCTAAGAAGGCTCGTCCACCCCTGTGACTGCTTCACCCTAGTCTGGGACAAACCGCTCCCTGACTTCTCTTCCCAGGCAGGTGGCCCCCATGGAAAGTTAAACTTGGTTTGACACATAATTAAACATATTTTGGAGGTACAAAGTATTGATTTAATACATCTGTACCATACAACAATGAGGAAACCAGAGGAGTCAGTATATCCTTCATCTCATATAGTCAACGTTTGTTTGTGGTCAAACACTCAAGGAGCTCTCTTCTAGCTACTGTTAACTGTGGCCATCCCGCTGCACAGTGGGTACTGGTACTTTCTTTAATGGAAGTCTACACAGTGTGAGGAACAAAGCAATGACAACGACTACTGACCTGGGGCCACATTGCTATTCCGAGGAACTGTCACAAGGCTCTGGCCACGGAGGATCCACACTTGCTGGTCCAAGTCAGAAATCTCCCCAGCCTGAGCGGTACTTCTTGCTGTTTGAATGGGAACAAATCAAATGATAGACATGAGGATTACGTGTCAGAATAGGAGAAAGACGACCTAAAGTCGGGCCCTTTCTGTAATGAAGGATTATTATATCCAGGAGTTTACATCCCCAAGTTGGCAGCCTTTATGTGACCTGTCAATCCAGACTTTCTTTGCAGCAAGTCAGCGATAAGCAAAGGCTTCCAAGGGTGACTACCGTTCTGAGAGGACAAACTGTTGAGGCAAAGTGACAAGCAGTTCCACAGTTCCTATGTGTTAAGACCCAGCTGCTCTGTGCTTGATCTAATGCTGGGAACCATAGCTAGGAAAGTAGATAAGTATGTGTCTCCAAACTCCAGAAAAATGAAGGCTAGTGGTATATGGACACATTGCTGTGTGCCAAGAGCCATACCTAAGGGGTAGTGTTCAAATCTTGGGTGTCCAGAGGACATTGTTAAAGATATAAATGGCTCCGTTTTCTAGTATCCCATGCCAACATCACCTCCAAATTCAGTATCTTGATTGTTTTTCATAGTGGGCTTGTCCTGGTACCTAAGGGAGGAGACATCAGGAAGAAAGATAAAACTCAGGAGACATTTCTAAGACTTTCCAAGATTCAGGACAGAACAGAAATACATAACCAGACATGACGCTCTAGTCAGAAGAGTTAAGCTGTCTTCTGGGATCACACCTCAAGGCACCATACCAGAAGAGTCTGCAGAATCTTTCTCTATTCAGAAATTTCACCAAGATTATCCCCCTACATGTCTCAAGGCCATAACTAACATTCAGCCTTAACCATTCTCCCAGCATCCAATTCCTCTACATCCCTTTCCCAGAGGCCCTTCCCCTCCACTGCCATCTCTTTCTGCCTAAGGCAAGGCAGGTCTTCATGCTGGGCAGTTTGGCCAGAACCCCAGCAATTCATAAGTGGAAGACAGAGGCTCACACACAGGGCAGTGCCCAGAGTTATGGTTTTTGCTATTCACTGAGCCCTGAAGTACATAAAGCTCTGAATCAGAGGGTTTTGTAGGAACAGGCTATACCTGGCAAGAGGAGTATTTGTGAAAGTCTGGGAGAGCAAATCACAGCAGGGTCAGCTCCCACGTGTAGTGATGGGCTTTGACAGAGCCTGGGTTATTTATCTAGGTGAGTGCAGGAGGCTCCAGCCTCTTTTGCGGGGTGTGGCAAATGTACAATGTGGAAAATACCAGTTCCTCCTGCCAGAACCTTGCTCTAGGGAGGCACAGGTGAAGAAATCTCAGAATCAGCCTGAGTGTGACTTGTCTAAGCTCGACTAGAAATGTTAGGAGCCCAGCCCCATACGTCAGCCACCAGGAAACAGAGTTCATGACAAACCTTAGATTTCTCAAAACAAAGAGACTATGGGGTTTTCCCAGAGGTCAGCTGACCTGACCTGTCATCTGGGGTTAGATTACAAATTCAAGGTACACAAAACAAATGATAGGATTGGCTCCTGGAACCTGGACTTCCAAAATTCTGCTCCGGGATCCCACTGGTCTCCCTAGTTAAGCTCTCTTACTTCCCATCTGAATCTCTTTCTGGCCTTGGAAGAATTGCTCTATGTTACCTTGGGAGAAGGTGTAAAAATGAACTGAGAATCACTCTTATCCAAAATCAGGTTTGGTGCCTGTCACTTCTCAGTCAAAACGTCCTCTTCCTCGGGATGCTCATCACAAAACAGTAGTGAAAAGGTACTATCTGCCATCCAAATCCCTTAGTACTCTGTTTTAGTGAGAACCCTATCTGGAAAACAGAACCTACTCTAGGATTTTAAATGGAGGGAACCAAAGACAAGAAATTGGGCTCACCTCTACAGAAAGGCTCAGGGAGGCTAAAGAATAAAAGGAACTGTAGTATTGTAGACAGTAGCAATTGTGGTTATGGGAAAAAAACCCACTGGAGCTCAAATGAAGGATCTTGGGACTGACAAGTTAAGAAGTGGGAAATCCTGCACCAAACTGATAGACCATAAGAAGAGTATGCAGAGAGCACACCAATTGCTTGCCCAGTACCAAATGGTCAGTCCTGAGAACATACATACAAGCAACATTATATGGGCTGAACAAGTTATATTTAGGGATATATGTGTATATACAACAACACTTAGTGAAAAAGAGGCTAAAATTTTGAAGAAGAACATGGAGGGATATAAGGAAACATCTGGAGGGAGGAAAGGAAAGGGAGAAATGTTATCTCCCACCAAAATGAAAACGATTCTGTCATCTGGATGTATGCCTGCATCATGGAGATGGAAGGAAAGGGTCAGCTACAAGACTCTCAGAGAACCTGAAGTACACAACTCAGAGTGAAATATTTACATGTGTTTAAAAGCCTCTTGAATTCTCCATGGCTAGAAGATTGTAAAAACTTACCTAGTCTGGTGCTGTGTCTCTTTAATTTTGGCTTTCTGCTCCAATTGTTTCTGACCTGTCCACAGCTTCCTAGCATTTCAACAATGTAGGCCCTCCTCAAATTGCCATCCTTGAGTCACTGGTTTAGACTTTAGTGTGACTCTCAAAGAATAGAGAAATTAGAGGAAATGGGAGTGTGTCAACCTGTTTTCTGTTTCTATAGAAACATTTCAGCCTGGGATGATGATGGGTAGAAAAAGAACAAATCAGCAGCACTGTGGCTTCCATCCCGGTGGGAGCCAAAGCACCCCATCATATTAGTCTTCTGCTCCACCCACGGGACTAGGTAAACCAGGGCCCATATCTGGGCCACCTGCCTGTGCTTGGGGTCATTCCTGTGGCAGGAGCCAACTCATCCCAGCATTCTAGCTTCCTGCTAGACTAGGGACTAGGATCCAAAGCACCCCAGCATCCTAGTACATTTCTCCACCCACTAGATGTGGAAGTGCAGAGCTACGGAGCATTGGACTTGCCTACACCCACCAGAAGGGAACTCCGGTCCTGCAGCCACCAGGAGAGAAAGAGGCCCCCTCGGGGACCCACTGGAAGAATGGATGGGAAGGAGACAATATAAAAGCACACTGAGCAACAAAAAAACCCCAATATGACACCACCAGAGTCCAGAGACCCTACACCAGCAAGACTAGAAGAGCCCCACACAAATGAAGCAGAAGAGAATGAAATAAAAACAACTTCATGAAAATGATAGACGCCCTTAAAGAGGATATGAGAAAATCCCTCAAAGAGAAGGAAGAAAAAAAACAATCCAAAAAATGCAAGAAATGGAAGAAAAGACAAAGCAAAAATTGCAAGAAACAATTCAAACAATGCAAGGGCTGAAATCTGAAAGAGAAACAATAAAAAACACAGTATGAAGAAATGCTGGAAATAGAAAAGCTGGGCAAATGGTCAGGCACTACAGATGCAAACATAACCAATAGAATACAAGAGATGGAAGAGAGGATCTCAGGTGTTGAAGATACACTAGGAGAAATAGATTCATCGACCAAAGACAATTTTAAGTCCAACAAATCCCTAACACAAAATATCCAGGAAATATGGGACACCGTGAAAAGACCAAACTTAAGAATAATAGGTATAGAAGAAGGTGAAGAAACCCACCTCAAAGGAGCAGAAAACATATTCAACAAAATCATAGAAGAAAACTTTTCCAACCTAAAGAAAGACATGCCAATGAAGGTGCAAGAAGCTTACAGAACACCAAATAGAGTGGACCAAAAAACTCCCCTCAACACATAATAACCAAGACCCCAAAGATATAGAATAAAGAAAGAATTATTAAGAGCAGCTAGGAAAAAAGGCCAAGTAACATATAAAGGCAAAGCTATCAGAATTATACCTGACTTCTCCATGGAAACTCTGAAAGCCAGAAGGTCCTGGATAGATATCCTACCAACATTAAGAGACCAGGGATGCCAGCTCAGACCGCTATAACCAGCAAAACTTTCAATCACTATAGATGGAGAACACAAGATATTTCATGACGAAACCAGATTTAAACAATACATATCCACTAACCCAGCCCTACAGAAAGTTCTGGAAGGAAAACTCCAACCCAAGGAAGTTAACTACAATCAGAAAAACACAGGCAATAGATAATCCCACTTTACTAACAGGCAAAAGAAAAAGTGGTGGAAATCCACATACAATTCCACCACCACTAACCATTCCAAAACACACAAAAATGAGCTATCAATGGTCATTAATATCCCTCAATATTAATGGTCTTAACTCACCCATGAAAAGATGCAGGCTAGCAGAATAGATTTGAAGACAGAAGCCATCCTTCTGCTGCATACAAGAAACACACCTCAGCTTCAAAGACACACATTACTTCAGAGTTAAGGATTGGGAAAAGATTTTCCAATCAAATGGACCCAAGGAACAAGTGGGGGTAGCAATCTTAATATCTAACAAATTACATTTTAAACTAAAATCAATTAAAAGAGATTAAGGAGGTCACTTCATACTCATCACAGGAGAAATCCACCAAGATGAAGTCTCAATTCTGAACACCTATGCCCCAAATACAAAAGCACCCAGATTCATAAAAGAAATATTACTAAAACTCAAATCACATATAAACCTCATACACTTATAGTGGAAGACTTCAATACCCCACTCTCACCACTAGACAGGACTACCAGACAGAAACGTAGCAAGGAAATGAAGGAACTAATAGAAGTTATGATCCAATTGGGTTTAACAGATATCTATAGAACATTCCATCCAAACACAAAAGAATATACCTACTTCTCAGAGTCACACGGAACCTTATCAAAAATCAAACACATACTTGGCAACATAGAAAACATCAACAGGTCCAAAAAATTGGATTAACTCCATGCATCTTATCAGACCACCATGCTTTAAAGTTAGAATTTAACAACACAAATAGCAGAAACCCTGCAAATTCATGGAAATTGAATAATGTGCAACCAGTCATCAAAAGTCTCCCAAAAAAAAAAGCCCAGGGCCAGATGGCCTCAGTGCAGAATTTTACCAGAAATTCAAAGACTAGATTATACCAGTTCTCCTAAAAGTATTCCATGCAATAGAAGCAGACCTTAAAAGAACAATTCTCAACTTTATATGGAAAAACAAAAGACCCAGGATAGCTAAGCTCAACAAAACAACATCTGGAGGCATCATCATCCCTGACATCAAGCTCTATTATAGAACTATAGTCCTGAAAACAGCTTGATATTGACACAAAAATAGACAGGTAGACCAATGGAATCGAATTGAACACCCTGAGATTAACCCACAAACCTTAAACACCTGATTTTCAACAAAAAAGCTAAAATTGCTACAATTCCACTCTTAGGCATATACCCAAAAGTTGCACACTCAAACAACAAGGACATCTGTTCCACTATGTTCATAGAAGCATTATTTGTAATAGCCAGATCCTGGAATCAACTGAAGAGTAGATAGAGAACATGTGGTATATTTACACAATGGACTAGTACTCAGCGGAAAAAAAAAACAATGGAATCTTGACATTTGCAGGCAAATGGATGGCACTAGAAGAAACCATCCTGAGTGATGTAACTCAGTCACACACACACAAAAAAACTAACATGGTATGTACTCACTCATATATGGAATTTAGACATGAATCAGGGGAGTGTCATCCTACAATCCCATTGCCAATGAGTCTGGGAAACAGGGAGGTTCCCAAGAGATATGCATGATAACCTAGAGAAGTGGAATGAGGCAAGATCTCCTGAGCAGATTGGGAGCAGGGGGGAGGGGAGAGGGAACTGGGAAAAAGAGAGGGGGGGAAAGAGGAGGTGAGGAGAAGAAGATATGGGGGAGCAGTAAGTTTGAGTTGGGGGAAGAATGGAAGAGACTAGGATGAGGGATGCTATAATAGAGGGAGTCATTATAGGTTTGAGGAGAGAGCTGACACTAGTGAGATTTCCAGAGATCTACAAGGATAACACTGACTGGTAAACTAAGCAATAGCGGAGAGACAACCTTAATAGCCCCTTCCTGATGATAAGATTGATGACTACCTTATATGCCATCCTAGAACCTTCATCCATAGACTGATGGAAGCAGAGACAGATACCCACAGGTAAACACTGAACTGAACTCCTGGAACTCAGTGGCAGAGGTGGAGGAGTGATGAGCAAAGGGGTCAAGA